GATTTTTGACATCTGATTACTGATTTTGAAAATTCAGTTGAATTATTGAATCGGATAAAAGAGCTTTGAAACCTTAAAATTTTGCAAATCGATATCTAAAATAGAATCAGATGGAAATCAACGAAAGAAATGTTTATATATTTGTTCGTACGTAAAGTATGGTATTGGATTCAAACTCGTGTACTCGACGTTTGATTACACCTTATATGTGAGATGCGGTGATGCTACCGAGATATTTAAACACGAGTGGAGTATAACTTGAGAGCCAAAATAGAGCTCTTTAACTACTTAAATATGCTACAGATAATGATGAGTGTATTGAAAATATGGAAATAAAATGTGAAAAATAACATTCTTCAAATTCCACTTGATACTATAACACATTTTTATTTAAGAAAACTCCAAAATGGATGAGAATAAAAATTAGTGATTATGAATAAGGATTGGAGTATAAATAAGGGTAAATCGAATGAATCAACATTTATGGAGGGCCTTGAGGTGACGACGAAATGACCCTGAAAATGTCAACCTATTGACTAGGACTAAATGAGGGTTATAAAAGTGTAAGGAATTAGAATTATGATTTACAGTTGACGGTTAAGGTTAGGAATTAGATTTAGGATTTTCAGCACGAAATAACATCATCCATACTGCCGAAATAGTATTTAGCCAAATGAGTGGATGAATTTCGAACTAAAATCCAGAACCTGTTACAATAAATTTGATTCATCACGGCTGTACAATTTATTATTATTTAGATCACATATCATTATAACAAGATAACTAGTTACGGAGATCTTTTTTAAAACAAAGAAATGCCTTTTTTATAGCCAGTATACATGTAAACCGTCAAAGAAAAAAATTGTGGTGGAAACTGCACGGAAAATCGTTTTCTGAAATCGGTATCATAACTTGTATTCCAAAGAAGAATAAAATTCAGACAAACAAGTTGGTGACGTAACCCTAAGTAAAAACTAATGACCACCCTGACATTTATTGTTATACATGACAGTACGATGTGTACAACACTTGTAACTTTGAACTTCAAAACATCATCACATACTTTCATGCAACAATTGGCCAATAGTAAAGACAAATATATAATCAATGAGATGAACTTTGATAGGAATAGATCAAACCAGTTTCAGTTCATGAGGTATGCAATCAAAGAATAAGCAGAAAACAACATCCGTTGTAAAACAAAGGATTAATAAAAACTACCCATTAAAATCTAGTTGCAACAGAAAAAGATTAGAAATTCTCACAAGAAGTATCATTCGGTATGTATAAGAATAAAATAAGTCTTAAAAACAATATTTTTTTATAATGTGAACTAATCAGATTTTTTAATATTAATTCATGACAATTAATTTAGCTCATTCGACTCGTCTCATCTATTGTTACACGAAAACAGCAGTGTATTATAAAGTTAGTGAACTAAGCATTAGAGGTCATTTCGGTAGCATAGCTTTACTATTCATTAGATCAACCTTAGAGCACTATGCTGAGTATATTTATTAATCATGTCATTAATAATGACTGATCTATTGGTAATATTCCTAATTTAGTTTCAATACTTATAATGACCACTTAGCATGAATATGCAACCAAAAATTCCACGTTCTTCAAGTATGATGACCTATAATTACTATCAGTGGTATGTGAAATATTAACATGAAGTTTACACATATAATTTCGTCAGGAGCATATCCATTGTACACGGATGACTGAAGTTACCGAGCACTTTAATGCGATTAGTGTCCAACAATATTGTCATGCATTTTAATAACTATTCTTCTGAAAATTCGTAGATAACTCACAGTAATAAAGGTAACTAAAAGACAAGAGACACACATTTCGATAATAACACTTACAGTACAGTTTAATAAATGCTGAATCTTTTAAAATATCATTAAGGCTTTAGTTGCGGTTAGTCAGAGGGATAAATAGTCGATCTAAAATCCCGGAAAGACCAATGTATTACAATAACTGCCCACCACAAACACGGTGTCAAAACACTAGTTCACTCTCGAATCACGGATGACAAAATTGACTGTCCTGAGATTCATACAACAGATTTTGCGCCTACCAGAAGACAGTTAAACAGACCTATGTACTACAGCGAGAGTAAATGCATAAAGTGAAATCCCACCATACCTTTAAATACCTCCAGTGATCATGGAATGCAAACTAAGTCAAACTACTCCTGAATACCTAACACTAGTTAAAACTTCCATCGACCTATTAACCAACAGTTAAATTTATTAATAACTACTTTTTGATTTTTTGGAATTTGAGATCAGTATTCTGAAATTCATTAAATATTTCCGAAAAATTGTACAACCAATTAAGTTTGCAACTGGATTTTAGGTAAATTTACATTCTTGCAGAACTTTATAAGTTTATATTATGAAAGGTGACTGACTCCGAGAATTGACGTTTTGTTCTGGTCTGAGATGCCTGTGACTACTTACGCATCTAGATACAGATTCAAAAACTTGGGTACCACTGTAGTTATTAACAGTCTTATGCTTTAGTAAAAGCTATAATTTTAGATGATGAATGCCAGTGTAAGCTGTAGAAGCGAGAATTATTACCATATAGTAAAACTATATATGACATAAAGTTATCTAAAATGTACCCATACATCTTACGATACGTTGGTAGTATACAAATTTAATCTGATATGATATTGTGGTGTGTGCTACTTACGCTGACAGATATAAGTAGTGTGCAGAAGCAATTGAAAGTAGAACGACTACCAGTAAAAGATTCAAATGAAGAGAAGAGGAAGGAAATCGGGATCACAACAGAATTAAAGAAATAATGGTGTGTAAAGGACAACGCAAGGAAAATGTGCAAATGATGTATTTAATGTATGATTTTTATATTTTGCCAAACCACTGTGTGATTTTGCATCAAACAATAAGTTGGCTTCTCCCATCTGAATTTTCGTTCTCTACAATATGATTTATCCTCAATTCGTCTTTGATTGATTGCGAGCGCTGATTTCAGCTATAACAGTTTTCTAAGACTTTTTCTTTAATTTACACATGTATTATTGTTAAAGTGACAATTAAACTTTCCACTAAAAAGGCAATAAAGACGTACTTTTGTTGGAGTAACACTTGATTACTGAAAATGATGTCTTCTGTTTATTCACCTGACAATACAAGTTAGATCGACTGGTAATCACTCAAGGTTGTGCATAGATTTAGACATAATAAAACCTTAAGATAAGTGGGTGGTTAATCTGAGAGAGCTCAGGAGTTTTAAAAACGTGAAATCTATTGAAACAATTTTTTATCATATGTTGCGTTACTTCGTAACTTCAAATAAGTAGAATATTTGCATTTTAGGAGATAAATGGACGTATAACAATCAGATTTATGTGAATTTAGAAATAAACCATAGCAATTTGCTTTATTCACCCAACACAATAATAATTTCTTACTCTAGTCACTACCAGTATAAAAATTAGTTGCTAGTTTTAGATGGTATAAAGGGTGGCCTGCTTGAGCATCTGGGCTACCTGTTCCTGCCATTTAAAGATTTCAACAAGTTATCTATTTTTGTTTGTTTTAATATATTATTATGTCTTTTAATCGCATAACCTATTCTGCTGCGTTTCTGAAAAGTGTACAACCTTTCGTTGTCAAAGTTACAAAAAAACTCAATAAGAGACAATGTGGTTGCTGGCAAGATACAACGAAAAGAATGCACATTATTCAGATGTTCATTTACTGAATTGCTAACATCTAACTGGCGACCACTCAATATTTATCGCCAAGACCAACCAAGAAGAAAAAACGGAAACTTGTTGAAATACTTTGCGCTGAGAATTCTATATTGTACCAAAAATATAATATTGAATAAAGCTGATAATAGTAATAATAATAACAGAGCAGATCAAAATTTGTACAAAACCTTTCACCATGAAGCGAAAGTACTATAAAAAATATGGCTTAATAAAATGGCATTTATCTTTTTTAAAATATTTGCCTATCAAAGTCTGAGAGAGGTGTTTAGCCGTTTTGTTGTATTCTCAGAATTCCTGTGGGTACTTGCTTTTATAATATTTTTCAATGAAGAAAAGGCGAAAAACACTACATCGGACAAAGCGGACGCCCCCTTCACCTTCGCCTACATGAACATCAATTAGCAGTCAAACGCCATGATACTTCCTCACTTATATCAATACATGTGGAGAACTGCGGACACTCATTTGATTGGAAAAATGTGGAAGTCTCAGACAGAGGAAATTCCAGAAACACAAGGGAACTTTTAGGAGCCTGGCACTCAGGTCAATCAGCAATCAACAAACACGCTGAAACCGACCCAATTTATCAACCAATCAGGAAAATTATGCACAAATATAGGGACGAAAATCAAATCAATGGGAGACACAAGCAAAACAAAGAAGTAAACGATGACAAATTTAAGGTTAGTAAGAACCAATCAACATCGAGGTGTACAGAACAAACTGTGAAACGCATATGGAGAAATCCGAACACCTCACTTCTATCCGAAGTTTGTGCTGATGATGTCGTTCGGAAGAACGATGAAAGCTCCACGACCAAACCATCCAGCTCAGAGAACAAAACCATCAAAAAGACAAGTGAGTGTCTGTTTTAGATGGCCGAAAGGCTGATATTTTTAACCCCATTCAAGTTTTGGTTTAATTTGGACTATCGCTTGGCTTACTGCAGATATTACAGGATCATATTGAGGCTTTTGACCGGTCGGTCATTAATGAGCATTAGGTTGCAAACATAAATAGAATCAAGTTAACGCTAACAACCACACAGCAGAGACACGCATTCCTGGAATTGCATGGAAAACATAGAAAGTAGGTAACTAAAATTAATACCGACTGGAAATTCGCAAGAATTTCTTGGATTACCTAAACTGCATGTGAAAAGAATTTATTTAGTCAATAAAAAAAATTAATGTCAATTTTTATTTAGCTGAATAAACGAATACAATGAGAACAAATATGTCGCATCAAAATACTTTATTTTTTTTTACTAAATATCAGAAAGCTGAAACTGTACAAAAGATTTAAAGGATTATTTCACTGATATTTACAATATCCAATTTAACAGAGGACAGAGATTACTGTTATTTAGTCTTTTAAATATACAGACAAAAGGTTAATAATTTTCAACTCAGTTAATATTCTAAGGATACAATTAGTCTACCATTCAGCAGCTAAACGGCTAAGTTCCAGAGGATTGTAATCAGACAAAAATATTAATTCAGCTTGTCCGTTTGGTGTAAAAGCGGCGGGATTTGTAAGCCAATTATTCTCTGCATAAAATCTTAATAAGGCATTAATTTCTGTTGGGGTGTAATTTTCAACGTGAACAGGAATGAATGGATCCATATATTCGAAACCGGATTTCCCCAATAGATAACTGGATATTATTTTATTTAAGAAAAAGATAAAAAAACATCATTAAAATATTTTGTAAGGCATATTACTATAATACTTTTAAAGTAAAAATACCAACGTACTATCTTTATTCTCAATATCTTATCTAATTGCATTAATAATTCAATAAAAAGTGCTTCTGTCTTCTTATAATTGTTAGTAGTTTTAAAATGACCCCATTTTATATCAACACAAAGAACAAACAGAGGGGATCTCTGAACTTATGTATCATTCCTCATTCTTTTTAAAATATTGACAAGCAAAAGCTGACAAGACAATAGTTAGAAAATCATGAACAATTGAAACGTATTTTTATCTTAGATATACGAAATCTTACTGTTGTACTTTAATGTGTCCCAGTGTTTAACAAGGGTGTGTTATATCACAGTGAATATAGCTAAACGTCGGAGGTAAACAGAGCAGCCTATACAAGTATGCTAATAACAAAATGGAAAAAGAATGTTAACATACAACACTTCGTAAAATCCGCTTTATTGGTATCACTCCAGTTATCAACTATTCACAACTCTCTATACAAATATAAATTTAAATGAATTGCTTTTAAAGATAATTTCCCATATAATTTTGTATTCAAATCTAAAGGTTGTCTATTCTATATCGGCCAAGTATATGTGTTTCAAAACTTGAGAGATGAAGGAATGACTGAAACACATTTATTCGAACATCTCAAGAACTAGTGATCATTAAGTGTTTGTTATTTTTGAATTCTAGTTCAGCAGTGAATTACTACCAAACTTAGAACTATAATATTAAGATTGATTCTCCTAACCTTCTTGATACATTAAAGTGACTAAGAACCGAGCTGTTTGTAGATGGAGTCTTTATTTTCTTACTCAATTCCACTTATTAAACTAGTAATTCGAAGCCACTATTCCTACAAAGTTAGGAAATAAACCACTAAGTCCAACTTCTTTCAATATTTTCAGGTTTGTAATAGAATCCGGGGTTGAATAAAAGACATCAGTATTTGAATGCTGAGGAATTCAATGAGTGAAATAAACTGACAAATTTCACTCATGGTTTTATCATATGTGAGTTCTTGAGAATCATGCAAACTAACTGACAATTTACTTGCTGTACAGTACTAGTTTGGCCATGTTGTTAGTATTGCTTCAATCTGTATATGCATTGAGATGATAACGAATTGTAGCTGAAGAGGACGTTTCTTGTTGAGCTAGTAATACGGTCAAATTTTTTGTATGATGGGTACAAACCCTAACACATTGGCTGTTTTGTGACCTTCATAATTATTCTCGAAAGTTATTTTTTATAGGATAAGTAATTTATAATTATGATAAAATACATTGGCATTTGGTAATATAAATCTTCATTCTAACACAATACTTCCTATGATTTGATAATTATTTCAATGGTTAAGATCATGAGTCAGTTGAAGCTAGACCACAATGGAAAACCTGGAAGCACTGGACGGCCGTTTCGTCCTATTTTGAGACTCCTCAGAAGTTTAACCTTGACCGAAATGACATGACATTGATTTGTTCAGACCTGTATTTTGATTGATTACATAATATTCTTGTTGTTCCGTTGTACTATTTAAACTTGGATTAATTCTAATTTAGTTATTTATTCTCTGAAGAAGCGGCTTACACTAAGTCATGAAACGTCAGAAAACCTAATCTTTCTACTCATTGGGGTATTACAAATATATTAAGTATTTGCAAGTTTATGAACCAAAATTTCTATGAATCCCTATGATGCGTCTAGCTAGATTTGTTATTGATACAACTTATATATTAGAGATAATAACCTAAAATCGATCAAGCGACATTTTCTATTCAATGTTTAGTTCATGTTTCATTTCCAGTCAATATTCCAACTATCTGTTTAAATTTTAGTTTTTCATGTCTGAGCTCCAATAACGAGTCCAAGTGTAGACTGCTACCTCAGATCACTTAACAACGAAAATCGGATATGATGATAATAATAACGGATATAATTTAAAACCCCAAGCATTGATTCAGATTAATCTAATCAATGCCTTTATAAATTCTAAACATATTTTTTTACGCCTATTTGGTATCCATTTCATTTTCTCCTTAATTTACTACAATAATACTTGATTACTTCTATTGTTATTTTCTTATTGTAGTGTTTTAAAGTAATACAATTTCAACCGATTTACATTTGAAATAAAACAGGTGATTAATAATTATCCCAAATGCTGATCAAAAAAATTTGTCTGGTTAAGATTGACACGTTTTTCATCAACTTTCTAACTAAATAATACTGTGATGGACAAAATAATTCACCAAGTAATATTTGACTTAAATAAACACAGGTCTTGTTAAGGCCTAATAAAAGATAAGTTCTCGGTCTAATGTGCAGTAGTACTGAATCAATGCTTTCTATATCTCGTCAATCAACCGTATGTATTTGTGATAAACATTTAAACACCAATCTCAGCCTCTGCGATATGAATCTTGTATTTCAAACAAACTGGGTTTACATACGAACCAAATAGATCACATCGTACCATAAAATAGGAAACAATATTTGTACAAGATTTAGCCAAATGTGGCCGTGAATAAGGGAGATAGTAATTGATAGACTGGGCATAACTCAAGAATGGTAAATCGTGTAACAGTAGTTCATAGGTCAAAATAAAGCTTATGATAAGAGGAACACGAATATGAATAGTTTAGTTCTTTATTGATTATACAATAAGAATATACGTATAGTATTAGTCTATAAACGGATCCGAAAAGTTATTATTCATTATTCTCATCGGATATAACGAAAATATATCACGAAAAACACATCTGAAGTCTGTTCTCGTGAAGACATCAGAAACTATAATATTTGATTTTAATGTATTATCAACTGGGTGTAAAAACTGGTCATCAATGTAAGATTGTAGAAAATAAATGAAGTCGCTAAAAAGGTTTATGGTTCAAAAAGTGTCTAACAGATACGAAAAGATTCGGTTTCACTTGCATATTTTAATTAAAATAAAGATAACTGCTAGTACAATGGTCACTAAAACAAGGCAAGACTTACTAGGAATTAGTAATCATTCATTCGTATAACTAACACCCCAAATAGTTATAAATGTAGAGGAACAAACTCTTATATACTTGGTATTATCAAAATGATTAGAAATTCAAACAAAGAAATGGGTAAACAGGAAATCATTGCCTCTCTATGTTCGTACCTTCATACACTGAAAGATGTGACGTTGCTGTCAGTCATGTGAAGCAGTGTAAATGGTATTATCAAACATATATTCCACTGTGAATTTTCCTAGGCAGTAGATCAAGTTTAGTTATAAACCAATTCAATTTATTATATACTGAGACTTGAGGTTACTACTTTATAGTTTCTATTCTAATACCGGCTAACTGAATTGACCTACTGAAGAGGCAGTTCACTGGTTCGACTTTTAAATACTTTGTTGGAGGTTCGAACTCCACTACACCTACTTCTTTTTGGATAGCTCGGTAGTATCGTAGTGAACGAGAACACAATTGAGGACAATTGAATGTATTTGAGTACAAAATTACAGAACGTCTTAGTAAAATCTGAGAACCATATAGTAAATACTTCATTTGCAAAATGTCAACCAATCGTCTAACACTTGAATGTTCTTTCGTTGCCGCACCAATTATCCTATCTTCTCGTTCTCTTTTCTTCGATCTTCTTAAGCTTCTGCCGCCAGACATTTCACTTTCGATTCATGATACACACTACTTATATCTGTCGACATTAGCAACGCACACCACAATATCACTAACCCTCACGATTAGAATACGGTTCATAGCCAAGTGGATGAGTCTGTATTTTGTAAATTAATTGGTAGTAATAATACAGAAATAAGGTTGGTCATTGTGCATTTCAGGGAAAAATTTTTTATTGAGACTTGAAAACGATTTTTACGGTTATAATATTCTAGGAAACTTAACTGAAAAAAATTATATGAGTAATCCTCCAAATATAAATCATACAAGGATAAAATCAGAGATCACAGCTAGACAAAAAGTAATCTACGCTTATTTACTTACCCAGGAGTATATTGTTCCCTATCTGTAGGCCAAGCCGCCCGAATATTTGTAGAGGTAACTATGACACCATGACGCCAGTCTCCCCTCAGTGCACGTTTCAAATGATGTACAATTGCCAACCGATCAGTAGTAACATTAACCGAAAGAGTTTTATCCTTTAATAAAGTACCGCGACACCACAGGAAATTTACACCATCGATGACCAATAAACAAGGAGGGCCATCAGGAGTAGATGATAGTAGACGCATCTAAAAATATATGGTCCGGATGTTTACTAAGATAATTGTACCAATAAAACCTCAAAATAAGTTCATGTGACATAAAAAGAGCGTAATGATATGGTTCAAGAATATTTTGAGTCACTTGCATTTAGTGTCAGGTTTATGAAGACAAGAATGTAAATTTGTAAAGTTTGCCAAAACTCAATGGCTGGTCTCGAAGTTGAAGGCATTAACAACCAACCACAAATTATGAAGTGATTTATAACACCTAGGAAAAGACGTCTTACTGGGTGGTTTGTAGCAAACAAACTCTTTGAAAATGGCTTGAGTTCGAAAAAACCAAGATTTACACATAACCGCTAACTTTTTTGACAAACTAACTACACCAAAACAACGAAAAACCTGATGCGAATATGTACCGGTTCAATTTACTACACTTTACACAAGTGCAGTGAGAAAACGATAAGAAGCAGAGTAAAAAAAGAGAAAATACTAATAGCGAATTTATGAAATATTGTCATAATTTGAATAAAGAAAGGACAAATATCGTAGCAGAATGACATAAATATTTTTTACTCAGCTGCCTACAAGTTAGAACTATAATGTTAATCATTAAACCGAAAGAAGAGTACATAATTTACGTCGCGAACGTCTTGAATAAATTGAGTTAACATGTCGAGGAAGAATAATAGTATGAGACAGTAATATGGAAGAATTAACATCACTCGCACGTTGGCTTAATTATGGGTTAAACATATGAATATTCAAAAAATTGTGGGGACGGAATTTTCTCGAAATCGAGGATAGATTATGTAATACTTAATTAAAAAAGATACAGACTAGTTGAGTAAACCACTGAAGTAAGAATTAAGATATAATAAATTAACATCAAAGTTATGGAAACATCTTGCGTTATAATCTCATGAAAACGAGGTCACCGGGGCAAAACAGGATATATTTTTTGGATGCACATTTTCGACGTATATCTTTTTATTACAACAGCTTCGGTAAACAGTCACGAATTTGAATCCCTTCTCTTATTGATTATTTTGAAAAATTTCTAAACAACACCATGTCCACTGTCGAGCAATCGCACTGTTGAGAACCTTTTCATTTAGTCTGTTTCGAAACTGTACCTATACTATATGGTTTATTTGAAGTGTCATTTTCAACCATCTATGGAAATCTATTAGATAGTTACAATATATGTTCTACTTCCATGGTTTAATGTTAATTATGTAGAGAAAAACAACTAAATAAACTACCTCTCTTAATAAAATTCCAATACAATCCGTTGCGTATTTGGTCCTGGCGATGCCAAAATTTATTAAATCTACCCAGGATGTTCCTTCGGGCATTATGTCTTTTTTGGTCCATTCTACTTGTCGAGATACAACTGGTTTTAACTAAATGAAAAAGATAACTTTTGACAGTGATAATCATTGAAAAAATTATGTGAATATTCTTTAAAGGTTTATCTGTAGGACTATTTAAAGAATTGAAACGTATTTTTAGCTAAAAATATGATTATTAAAGGTTCACGACAAATTCAAACTGGTGCGAAATTAAAACCAGGCCACGAAATATGTAGTACTGATGTCAACTAATATCACTCGATGAACATGACTAAGTAACAAATTTTGATATGTATTATATGAGTGATAAGTGGCGAAAACGCAAACCTGCTAGAATCGAACTAGTGATGTGAATGGATCGTCAGTTTGGTATTTAATACTCTGAACTAATCGTCTAAGTTCTAAATTTGCCATGGTTTCACTTTAATCGTGAGGTTTTGTGACTTGCTAGCTAAGTTTGTTCTAAAATTTAATTGCATGGATCCTTTGTATGATTTTATTCTAATCGCAGTTTAGATAAAATGAAGCTGAGTTTAATGTAATGAAGTACAAAAGGTTTAATAACCTTTATTGTTAAGTACACCAAGACTGATAATTAGTATATAGCTTAATATTAAGGCCATGTTGGCAGACGAACTTCACAGCATGAGTAGTTATTGGTCACTTGAAACAATGAACTTATCAAGAACAGGTTTTTAAGTAGGTGATCAAAAGATGGAAAAATTATATGAAATTGTATTTCAATGTAATTTAAACAAAACTTGGTTCTTAAGGTATCAAGACGTAAATTACTTGTCTTTATTGGTTAAAATGTCATAAAATTGGGGCATTCTATCACATTTGACCTGACATAAATGCTCACTGGTTCAAACTGACATAACACATAAGCAAGAAGAAAGGAAATTAACAAAATGTAAAGCAAACAAATGAAAGTAATGGTATTATTTACAATAGTGAAGAAAACCAAACATATCAAATATGGTTTGAGAATAAGATTGAGTAAAAAGTGTCAGTCAGTCAGTCAGCTACAACGTAGGACCAGGCACATATATGCATCGGTCCAAGTTGCCATACCTCATTAACACAACAAGATGGACACCGCATTCGTAAAAGTAGTTAATTCAGAGGTGGTAATATATAAAAGAAAGATTGCACGTAAGGACATAGTACAGGAAGAAAGAATTAGTTCATAGAAAGAAAGATATGAAGCGATTTTAATCTCTTAGTTTGAGGGAAGACAGAGAGTGTATACACCAACGCCATTGTGGTAGATTCTGAGCCATGTCACCAAGAGTCTACAACCATTGGTTACGATAGTCACGCGGACCCCAACCAACTAGTCTGCATCTACCAACATGCCTCAGACCGGAAGTTAGTAAATTCACTGACTGATGCCACGTTTCAGTTTGGCCGCCCCTAACTTTATTCCAACCATCCCCAACGCCGGTTAGGATTGCACTTCGTGGTAATCGGTGTTCAGGTATACGTACCACGTGGCCCAACCATCTCAGTCGATGAAGATTCACAACCTCATCAACTGATTTACCATCATTCCCTAATACCCTGCGTCTAACCTCACTATTACTTACCCGGTGAAACCAGCAGATACGAGCAATATTTCAAAGGCATCTATGGTCAGACACTAGTGGCTTACGAGTATCTTCTACTCTTAATGGCCACGTTTCGCAGCCGTAAGGTAGAACATAATGACCTGCTGAGCAGTATACTAGTCCATTACTTAATTGATAGACAGATATCTCGCTTTCGTCATAGGTGACGTAAGTTGGTGAAAGCCAAACGACATTAGGGCTGATCAGACTTCCAACATAAGTGAAGTTGTCAGCGCGTTCGACTACTTCACTCCCTATTCTTAGTTCAGGTGTTGACGCAGACCAGTCCTGAAGCGACAACTTGCATTTAGAGGGAGAGAAGCGCATTCCAAACATCCTGGCATTGTTGCTTAGTGCTACAAAAGACTCTGCATTCTATCAGCGTCTTCACCAAACAGGACTATATCATCCGCGTATTCTAAGTCGATAAGTGGACCTCCTGGAAGGAGATCAATACCCGAGAATTCAGTAGACGAGAGTGTTATTTCCATCAGTAGGTCTATGATGAAGTTAAATAAAAATGGAGAAAGTGGATAGCTTTGACGGACACACTTGAGGTTACAAAAGCAGATGACAGTTCACCATAAGCTCTCACTTGACTAGCAGTGTTCGAGTAAAGAGCCTTCGCAAGGTTTAGGTACTTCTGAGGTACGCCTTTCAATGACAGATACTGCCGATAAGTATGCTTGTGTTCTAGAAACTGACGAATGGTGAATATGTGGTCGATGCAGCCACGACCACGTCTGAAGCCAACTTGATTCCCTCGTGTTCGCAGTTCACGAGTCTTAGTTAGGCGTCTGATAATTATCGAGGCTAGTATTTTAGATAATATATTAGTTAAACTAATCCCTCTATGGTTGTCACAGGATGATTTTAACCCTCTCTTATATATTGGGACGATCAGTGATTGTGACCACTCAGATGGGATTACATTCAATTCCCAGATTTGAGTTAAAACATTAGTCAACCTGATCGCTAAAATTTGACCACCATACATCAAGACATCTGGAGCCAATCCATCACTACCAGTTGCTCTTCCTCGTTTCAGATTAACTATAGCCTTCTGAACTTCTGCTAGAATTGGGGGACCTACTTCAATGTTCCATTCACACTGTCTGGGAATGGAGGGTAGTTGTAGAGTAGCTGGAGGCCAGCTGAACTGTTCTCTGAAATGCTCCGCCCATTGTTCTAAACGTCTGGACTGAGCGCAGATGAGAGGTTGAAAGCGAAACCCGAGGAGATAATAAACGAGTCGAATATACAGTTCTTGATACCTAAATATTCCAGAGTAAAAGTTAACGGAAAGACTTAAGTCACCAAAACTTGAAAGTCATGAGGAAATAGGGAAAATAATTAATAAAATGATCCAAAAGTGTTGCAAGACGGAAGATTTATAGGCTTATGAGGTTGATTTTAGTTCATTCTGTTTGAGATCGCCGACTATGGGCACCCAGTAATTATTGAGCTCAATATTCAAGTGTCATAACTACAGTTTAAAGCAGTAGTCGTTAACTTCAACCACTAGTATTTTATTTTGGTTTTTTGTTTAAATTCCCTTACTTTATATTCATTGCAGAAAACATCGCAATCGAAGCAGATAGTGGTTCGAAATTAGAAATATTCCCCACCTGCTTCCGCAAGTTACCTACCAAATATCATATTAGTCATATGAATGTACTAGTAAACACTTTATTGACAATAACAGGTTTTATGGTTTCGAAAACACGAAAAATAAGTTGAAAATAACTGAATTATTTATTACAGTGATAGAATTGTAGTACATTGATTTGAGCACTTCTAGTTAACAAACTATGTATTCTAACCTTGCTTCGATAAGCTAGGTCTAAGTGGATACACAGTACTATCAATTAACAAACGTGTCAAGTGGTAAATGAATAGCTAGTTCTTGATTTTCAATCACCGGATTGTAAATTCAGATCCTCTTTTCGTCCTGACACTCAGGTAATATTACTCGCCCTCATACCAAAACAACTATTTAATTAGTTACTGAGTTGCATTCATGTAATGTGAAACTTGTAGAGAAATAGACTTGTGTATGTTGGACTATATCCTATATCCTATATTTTTGTGTTTATCACCATATACGGTTTGAAACCATAGGAACACATCAACTTACAAGTTCGATTATGATGGGTTATTCAGACCACTTTTTACAAGTATTTATCACATCCTGTGATACTAACTATTTACGACGAGGGATGTGATTTAGATATGTTTTCGTGGGAAAAAATCAGTACAAACGAGTCTATTTTGGATAAACACGGATGTACGCGAAAACAAGTCATAGTAAATAAATGTAATCACACGCTGGTTATGAAACACAGTGTACGAGAAATAATCTCAAAGTAAGTAAATTAATAGTACAGTAATATATTCAGCCATTTTGGTTACCTTGACGTGGTGGTCAGGCTTGCCTATCGTGATGAACAAGTCGTGCTATACTGGCTGGAACAATCGTTCCTCAATGTCCTACCATGCCAGAGAGGTCGGTTGAAGAGCAATAAAATTAAAAGCAGCAAACCCAAGGTCCGAGGGTGAAGTCGTACCGCTGGCTGTGCAGAGATGTGACGGTAGTAAGATGCTTTCTTTAGGACCTAAAAATGCACAACTCGCCTTATCCCACGGATATCCGTCTCCGGAGGTAGGTCTCGACAAGTACGGAGCTAACACGAAAACTACCCGTAAAAAGGTAGTGTGACCGACCTTAAGTAGTTGTCCCTTGGGCACTACGGTCACGCTCTCAGGTCACTAGGACCACCTCTAAACCAATTTCCTTCTCAGGTACCACCAGAAGAACCCTTCCATGGTATGAGCAACCAGGAAGTGAAAACCGCTTTCATCTCTAACAGCACTCAAGATTTTGGTAAAATACCTACAAAAATGGACGATCATAAATCATTGTTATAGAGCAGCCACTCGCCTTTAAAAACCGAAATCATTAGTTCTGTTTGTCCCGTACTGGAGACTTTCCGCAAATCTTAGGTGCATCTATGTTAATTTGTCACCAATTATTGATGAACCAAAAACTCATGGTATCAAGATCCTAATACTGCCATGGAATTTTCAGAAAACACTTTTAAAATGAGGGCACAAACAATAGTACTTTGAAAACCGAGGAAATCAGGGAGATAGAATAATAAAATGACAGATACCTTTTCAAACAATGGTCGGTTAAGTTGTAAAAAGACTTTAAGCCATTCAGCAGAACGAGCTGGGAAATCAAAAGCATCACCCGCAAAATTCTCACGATGTTGATTATAGTGATACTCATTGCTAGGAGCAATGTCATTTGATGGTTCCAGAAAATTTTCACAACTTGTGAACGGAAATATAAGCCATTTTTCTCTACCGGCGAAACACATAATTTGTCCCAAAATGACTGAAACACCAGTCCCCGGTTGGCCATAAAGTACAAAGCGTGGAACACAGTATTTAGCTAGTGCGACGGATTTAGAGGAGTCAGGTTCCTTTTTGAAACTTTCTTTCTGTAAATCTCGAATGTTAATTACGTCCTTAATCATGTTAATTGTTGGTTTCCGAATCAAAAGTGACAGGTCACCAAAGGTTTTAAGTTCTTCTACTAACTCGACTTTGAGAAATGGTTCTATGAAAAGGGAAAACTCATTTTCAGAATAGGTTATAAATTTGCCAATAATTGATGACATTTGAGACACTTGTTCAAAATGGGAATAAATCTGAGTCCTTGGAGCAGGTAGATATGTATTGCTGACGGAAGAGCATCTACGAAAATTGCTGCACAAAGAGCGGGTAAATAGTGTAAGATATGACCCTGTCCTCGGAATTATAATAGCCATCTATGGAAAAGTGAAAGAAAAAACGGGAAATTTATCATAAAACAACACAGCGATTAAAAATTAAGAGTATACTACCTTAAAACAATTGGGAAACAACCGGAAACATGTTCACATCACTATTATTAATAGCATAAGTGTTATGCTGGCAAGTTATCTGCTAAAACAAACAGAAGCGGTTGACTGACATATATCACCAACTAGTTTGCAGAAAACATTCAACACATCACTGACATATTACAAGTCATTTGTCACCTTCAATAATTAACTTAAGTAGATACCATTTTTCGGCCGACTGCAATAGTTAAGTGCTCCGATCACTTTAGTTGTCTTGGAAACCCTATCACTGATAACTAGCAAAACCACGATTCGAATAGAAAAACCCACTTAGTTTTTAACAACCTGAGTTATCATTAGTGAAAATGAGATACCTATCAAACAAAGAGGTGAGTACAGTCCACTCTGCTACAACTTACAGCTGTGAAATATTGCACATAAAAGATGAAAACGTGAGTCTTCAAGAATTGATACAGTGGAGCGCAACTAACGAATGAGTTAAGGGTAGGTTGCTCGATAAAACCCAAGTCAACTGATGAAATTATAAATCACCATGGTCTACGGTAGTTGGGAGATGTGTGGTTAGACAAAGACCACCTAACTCGATATCCAATGCGACGATATACTAGAGAAAATTTGACGTTAAACAAAGATAAATGGATGTTGCCATATAGTAACTTCGTATGACTATAATCAATGGTTGCATACATTGAATGACGTGATGAAAGATTAGGTTGATGTAGTTGCAATCAGCTAACTTGACATTTCCTCATATCTTTGATGAACCACTGGTTGCAGATGATGAATTCGCCCGTTTTCAGGTGTTACTGTTGACAAAATGTCGTATTAGACAATAGTCAAACATGTTAAGCTTATAGCAACACCGTTTATATAGCTTACAGCCACGGTAAGCAAAGGGATATAGAGGAGTTGGAGGGAGAGAAAAGTGCTCTGATCAGGTTACATCCCCCCAAACTACATTTAAAGAAGCTAAGATCACATTCATGTCTGACAAGACTTGAAAGCCTGAGAGTAACTTATTAATCTTAAAGGCTTAATGCTACAACATCGTAAATACTGTAATCTACAAAAAAACATGTCAGACAAGTGTGAATTAACAGCTTCTCAATGTTTTCGCAAACCGACTTTTAAAAAATCACTGCGTACCATTAGTAGGAAAGGTAGAAGCGGACATACGCGCTAACATAATTGATCGACAGATAAGCAACTTACAGTGACACACTATAGCTCCGGGCTTGAAGAATGCGCTTCCTGTTAAACTGTGAGAGGTCAGTAACTTGTACTGTAATAATTACATCAGAGAATTTAAAAGTTGTCAGAAGTGATAAAGCCTTCGTTTTCACAGATTATTTCTGATGAGTTGATTTTTTGAGTGAAAATGCTTACAAATTACTATGAATAAAAAACAACGCACTCAATTTAAGAAAGCAGAAAGTATTTTTCCACTGTGGGTTGATGGTAACATTTTAATAATTTATTATGCATTAAAACTACTGTTTTGATTTCAACCAAATTTATTTTGGCAAAAGTAACGCCAAGATTACCGTCTTTTTTCGAAAGTAATTTATCATCTGTACTTTTTGAGTACAATTGTTTTTCGTGTTGCACTCTTAAACCTGACAGTTCACTTTTTTCATTTTTTTCTGATTGTCAGTTTTTATCTTTGTATTTTGTCTGTTTCTGAATTATTTAAAAACCTTGTTGACTGGGCAGTTCGGAAAAGGCAACTACCAACGCTCGAATTCCTGATACCCTACTAAAAAAAATGGCATGCAATGCTATAAGTGTAAAGGATTTTAGCACGGCATTTTCACGGATGCAACACTCACTGTTTTTGCAATGGTGAATAAAAGTGATTTTATACGGCTGAGTCAGCAATGTTGTTCGAATGCTGAATGAGTTCTATCCGAAACCATTGAAATAGTGAACGCTGCTAAAAGGAGCACCAGAAAGAGCACTTGAAAGCATCAAATGGTATTCGCTCTAACGAGTTCAAAGTTAATGGTTCAATGTGGTTCAATGGAGGAATGAGGGATCTCATTCAGTTCTGTTTGAAGTAAAAGCGTAAGAAAGGATGAAACGTCCAGAAAACCTAATCATAAAGCTAGATCCGTTTCTAGCAAGAAAAATAAACGACCCGAACACCCAGGGTATTAACAGCTTCTCGTCAATGTGATTGTCACCTTAACGAAGGCTGATTAATGGATACAAATCAAGGATAAGAAACTATCTAATGTCCTTAAAGAAAAGCAGATCTTCAAAACGCCGGCTGAGAAATCGAGGGCTGATCATATTTACAACTCTGTTGCCTTTCATAGGGTCAAGAAGAGTGAAAGTTCAGAGCTCGTAACTCGCTTTAAGAATGATATTAGTGTGTAGAGTCCAACATCTCAAGATATGTCAGAAATCGCGGTGCTGAAGGCTTAAAGATTAGATAGCCAGACGGACAATATTATCGCGTTTACTATTATCGACAACACATTCCATGAAAGTGGAACGTGCGAATCGGCTAGATACCGCTTAAAATGCAGAGGAGAAGAGCTGCTGATTGGTTTAGTTTACCCTAGTTTGAACTGTGAGGTGGCTTAGAACTTGCCAGGCAGTCTTACCATTTGGTCATTAAGTAGTCCGTGTTTAATCTAAAGAAACTTTTGTGAACGTACAATAGACTGGAAAAATCTGAGGAATGAATTGTGAAAAAAGTCTTTTGAATGGAAATCAGTTGAGGTCGCTATCATATGTACCTTAGTGTAACACGTCAAAGAAGAATCATTGCATGACGCGGACTCCGATTCATACTTACTATATCTGAAATCGACTCATTATGAGGGTGACGTTACAAACCTCCTTTATATGTCACCTCTAGGTGAAGGTGAACGTACAGTTTCAGTCTCCGATTTCCATATAGTTATCAAAAACGAAGTTGTGACAGCTCGAATGTCTGGGAAGCAAATATACAAGATATTATATACTAATTATCCTCCATAGACTAGACAATAAAACCAGAATCCCCCACTAAGCTGGCTCGAGGCGTATTCAGAAATTTGTTCATAAAGGTCACTGAGCCTCATTTCCTTCGAGCTACATCAAGGGGTTCGGGAAACTCTCACCGTAGTTGAGTAAAGAGGTTCGCACCTTTCTTCTTAGAAGGAGAAGAATGTTGGAAAGATTTAAGTCACTGGGTACTGACGAGTTTAGGAAACCTCGAAATATGCTGTAGAGATGCATTCCTTTTATTTCATACGAACCTCGCACAAACATTCTGGTCTTTGTGACCATTAAGGAACACGAAGTCTTTGGTCCTCTAAATAAGCTTGATGTGGGAAAATCTATGAGAGCCAATAAAATACATTTTGCGTTACTAGAGGAATAAGCGTATTTTTTCGCCAATCCCTTGGACATATATTTTAATTTATATGCAACCCAAGTTAGATTACCAAAAGACTAGAAGAGCACAAAAGTAAGCCCCATTTTTGAAGCATGTACCAGACGCAAATATGAGAACTAACGATGTGCAAGCATAACCAGATTGTTTGTTGAAATTTAGGCAACATTATTCGTAAGAAGTTGTATGATTATCTAGAAGAAAACCAGATCTTTTCTGAAACTCATGGTCATAGAATAGGTCATCCATGTCTCATAAAGTATGAATACTTGTACAATGAATAACATTGAGCTAGCTGATATTCAGACAAATAGCAACCTAAGAGCCGCTATTAATAAATGACTGAAATTACGGTTCATTACGATGCAATAGCTGTCAAAGTCTTGAGATCATTTTTAACGATACGAAGATCCATTATCCATGTAGATTCTAGAAACTCTTAAGCTCTATACGAAGAGCTCAAATATTTTAAAATTGGTTATTGCGAATAAGCAGCCACCCTTTGCATAGAGAGTTTCTTATAAGATTTCTTTTGTGTTCCAATCTGCGCCTTTACCTCTATTAAAGACAAGACGGTGATGAGTTACAAGTTTTTTGGCTCTGATACTAATATAAAAGATTCTCGTAATTGAACTCAAACTAGTTACTTGAATGAAACGACGAAGTGTAAGAAGCAAGTTTTATCGGATGATCATATGATGGCAAGTGGCAATTATTTGTTAGCATATTCTTTCTTTTAGATAAATGAATGTTTTAAGGAATCCTTAACCTGAAAATGATTTGGTACAGCTGTATAAAATGAAAATGATACCAAGTCTTGTCAAGTTATATCTGCAGGAGACAGACAAAATATTATCAAACGAAAGAGATGGCATATTCGACCACAGACAAGGGTAGACAAATGCAAGACGCCTAAGTTGATTAGTTAGAGGACGAAATTGTTGTCTTGGATGAAGTACACCTTAATAAAGTCCGAAAACTTGCTAAAACCTCTTTAACCAGTTACGTCCGATAAAATTAATCAGATCAGTTTTAATAATGAGTACCTAATATACCATACATTATGGGAATTACTTGTCAATGTAGATGTTTTAATAATCTCATTAGTTAGTGTTATTTTTTCATCTAAAAAAGACTAGCCTAGTCAACTCAATCTGTAGCACTTCCAGAGTTACTACCGGTCCAAAGCCTCGGTGAAGGAGGAGGGTTGGATATATGATTAGCGACCCAATCCCGTAGAAAACTAACTCGCTAAAAAACGCTAACCAGAATCAACAAATTAAACCATTTTAACCCTGTCCTGGGAGTTAAAAGGTCTTCATTTAGAAGAACTATGACGTCTCATGGTGAAAACAGGGTTCCTTCGGAAATCACGGACCGTTGCCCCTTTTAGCAACTAGAGCAACAATTAATATGGGTACATGAAACGTACCGTCAATGCGCCAGACCGGGAAGACCAGTCAAATACCAACGGAAATGAGGAGATACAACTTAGCAGTACTGGGAATCAGCGAAACCCACTGAATTCAAGCTGGACAACAAAAGCTAAGTACGGGAGAGGTTCTGCTGTACTCCGGTCACGAAGAGGAAAATGCTCCACACACTCAGGGAGTTGCTCTTATGCTATCCAAAGTAGCACGAAATGCACTTGTAGGATGGGAATCTCATGGATCCAGGATCATCAAAGCATTATTCAAAACAAAGAATGGAATCACGATGAATGTTATCCAATGTTATGCATCCACCAATTATAGCAACTACGACATTAAACATCAATTCTATGAGAGGCTGAAATCAACCATAGCGAAGTGCCCAAGAAAAGATCTCACTATTCTTATGGGAGATCTAAATGCCATAGTCGGAATAGACAATACTGGATATGAAGACATCATGGGACGACTTGGACTGGGAGAGAGAAACGGGAATCGAGAATGATTTGCAAATCTATGTGCATTTAAGAAATTGGTCATGGGAGGTACAATATTCC